GCAGATTATGTAAAAATACTGGGGTTTGGTAGACCTTGACTTGTGGCCTGTGGACATTTGTGATTTCCAAATCAGGAAATGGTTGAAAAGCACTGGTTTGGCTCCCCAGTCTGTCCTTCCCCACATATCAAATGAGGCTGCATCCTGCCACACCTGGTTTGGTGTGGCAAATGCATGTGGTCTGTCTTTTCCATGCTAGGTGATGTAGTTGCAGAATCTGGAGCACTAACTCTGACCTCCCTGTTCACCTCAGTGTCTGCCAACTCAGATGCCCTGTGCTGATATTTTAAATGTAGACAAAGTGAACTGCCTGTCAAAATAAGAAATCAAAATGGGCATGGAGGGGCTGAGTATTCAGCTGTGGCTATGATTGCATCTCAGCCCTTGAGCTGGGGGTCTGGCTGTTCCCTTGCCCCTCAATCCAGGCAGAAATGTATTTAGCAGGACTGAGCCTGGCATCCAACCTCTGCTCCTGAACATCCCTTTTAGGCTCTGGGAGGGCAAGGGAAGATGAGTTTGCTGAGCCCTGCAAGGCTTCTGAGCCTGTGGATCCCAAGGAAAGGGTGCAGGTCCTAGGGAGTCAGGGGAAGGTTGCTCTGCTCTGAACAGTTCCGTGCAACTACTTCTTCCCTCACCCAGCTGAGTTTGGAAAAATGATGCCACATTTTCCTTTTTTTTCTAGCTTGTTCATTTATTTTATCGAATGGAATGCCTCAGATATGGCTGTATGGCTCCTTATTGCTTTCAGAGATGTGTTTTTAATCTGTTTTCAGGAAGCTGTGTGAGCCATTAAGGAGAGAACTAGGTGTGTTCTCTCACTGTATGCACAAGGAGTTTGGTTTCTGGTGTGGGTACAAAGAGGATTTTAATCCTCATCTGCAGCATTGCAAGACTTAGCTTGGCTTGGCTTTCCTGGGGCACCTTTCTTCTAATAAATGAACTCCACAACTTTAATAAACAAGAACATATCACTGACCTTGCTTTGCAGACACCATCCAGCTTTTGACAGTTCAGAAATATTCACCGTTCAGCCATGGATGTAAGAACAGCCAGAACTACACAGAAATCCACAAACAGTAGTGTGATCTCCACCAACAGGCTATTGCTGTTTCCTGTACAGGGCTACAAACACTCCTCAGTGGATGAGCCAAAGCACTCCAAAGAAGGGACCTAAAGGACTTCATTGCTGACCACCACAGGGATGGACTCAGAAGAATTGGAATTGAAAACTACTCTAACCATCCTGGGTAAAGTCATGCAACTTGTTATTTTTTTAAATGTTAAATTCATGGCCATGGTATTTGAGTGCCTGCAGTCATCTCTTTGACACCTATTACTGAACATCTGGGCAACAGTACCCCTCTCTGTCCCAAGCTGCTCTAGGATAGATTGGCTTTGGAATGCCATTCCTGAACTGTTAGAAGGGAAATTGGTGTCTGAGGGCCTAATCAATCCCTTACCTACTGCACATGATGCTTCTTGAAACTGGCCATTTAATCAGCTTTCATGCACTGATGTTTTTTTTCTCAATGCTTTGAAGGCAACTTCATTATTGAAGCAATGACAGTGGTGCTGTGAGCTCAGAATGATGTGAAAGCCTGACTTTGGCAAGCAGGACTGCTTGACTTGTATCTTGGTAAAGCAGGAACCTCTTGACTCTTCCTGCCTTTGTCCAAGGTTTCAGGTAAGGTCCCTCTCCTGTCCTTCTCTTTATGGGTGTCAGGTATTATTTGTCTTTTCTAGTCTCAGGTTCTGCTGCTATCTGTGAAAAAGTTCAAGAGTCTACCTGGGAATCAACTATTATCAAACTGCATCATCCATCAGTAAAATCAATTTACACTTCCTGCCATCTCATTAACTTTATCCTTTACTTTCTCTGTCTGCTGAGGTTCAGGGATACAAAAGATCTGGGCCTTCCCTATTTCTGAAATGGCAGTTCCTTTTTGGTGCCTGACATTTCTTTTGGGAAAGTGACATCAGAATTAAACAGAAAGACCCCTTTCTAAGTGCTAGGCTGTAAATGAGAGAAGTGAGATCAAAAAACAAAACTATAAACTACTCTCAGAGAAGCAAATCAGTCCTCTGCTAGGTACACTCAACTGAATGTACAGGAGCTTCATTCAGGGGTGAAGCTGGAAATACAGCAGACCTGGAAAAGGCATTCACAGGAAGAAAAAGACTAACACAATTCATCTGAAATTCATCTGTGCTCTGGAGTATCCTTTCTTTAGACAGACAACTATTGCTTTCATCAAAGCCCATTCATCCTATATTTTACTTCATTTCCTTCTTAATGGCTCATTCTGAGCTCATCTTTCCTTCAGTTCCCTTTGCCCCTTGCTGTTGGCCTTCTGTCCTGCCAGGGACATGCCTATCTGATCTGCGGGAAACAGGGCTGGCAGTAAATGCTGAGGGGAAAGACAACTTTGGTCCAAACTGTTTGTCTCCTTGTTCTACCCAAGAATGCAATGAGGAATCTGCTGGGTTTTTCTGAAAGTTTCAGTTGAAGATTCCTACAAAATTTCCTATATTTAAATAAAAAAGAGGAAAAAGAAACAAAGGTTATGAAGGTATATTATCTTCAAAACAGGGTTTTGGCCAAAGTTCAGCCCCTGGGAGAGGTAACCTAGCTGTGTGATAGAGAAAGGTAATTGTGGTGTTGAAGATGCAAGTTAGAAAACAATGGTGCTTACAGGCAGTATAGATCAAGGAACTTTAGAACAACTGTAACTATTGGAATCTGATAGAATGCTCCTGGGGGCTGTACCAAGATTCATGACCTTTATTAACCTGAAATGTCAGGTCCTGCCCTGTGTACAATCATTTTGGTCTTTGGGAAACTCTGGGCTTTCCTGAATCACCTTATGACCAACATGAGATTCGTGTCAATGTCCCATGGCAAGTCCTGAAAAAAGAAACAGGATGAGTCACACATGTCTAACAGCTCTTCACACCTCTGAAGCAGCCTCTGAATTCCAGAAGAGGAGACAGCCCCAATGTGTTCTCAAGGTCTTATCACAGAAACTAATTCAGCTTGCACAATGCCTACTAAATACTGAGAAAGGCAGGAGAATTCAGAGGAGTGGTGGCTGTGCAGCTGCATGCTACTTCTTGAAGCCTGCAACAAAAAGGCAGATTAAATGAGCTGGGAAGGGTTCTAGAGCAGGTTTGCAGAGCACACTTGGCCAATTAAACAATTTGTTTGGCCTGCCAGGTGCTCAGAAGACAGTGTGGCAGGGTGTCCTCCCAGCCAGCACATCCACACATCCCAGCTGTGCAGCTGCCAGAAAAAGTGGGGTGTGACACTCAGTGGAGAGGCAGAGCACAGGGAAGGTAGATGAGGAGACAAGGAGGATGGAAGAGCAGAGGGAGTGATGGAGGCAGGTCTGCTAGGGTATGACAGAAGGTGCAGTTTGAACTTGCTAAGCCTACTCACCTAACTGCTGCAGTGAGGCATTCCAGGCCAGAATCCTATTGTACAAAGGAAATTGGGCTGAGTCACCAAATTCATTCCTCTGCTGTTTCATGCATCACACCATGCAATGCCTGACAAAGTCTGCTTTGTTTGGTTTTGTCTCTGGGGTTCCCATAGGGAGGCTCTTCCAGGTCCTCCCTTTCTAATAGGCATAGTCATTTTCTGCTGCTTATTTACAGCTAGTTTGTCCCTCTACTGAAACCATCCCTTATCTCTCCAAGTTCTTTGCCCTGCCTGTTGGTGCATTGACACACAACAGTAAGATCCACTCTGGCTTCACTTTGCAGGCTGTACAGTCTAAGCAATACCTCAGCCTGTCTAGAGGAGCTGAATTGCACTCTTCCATATGACAGCTAAAAAATCCTGTGGACTTTCTGGTATCTTTCATTCAGAGTATTTAACCAGTGTCGGTCCTTCCTGAGTCCTTTTGTAGCAAAGCATGTTCTTTGCAGCTCTCTTTGCTGGAAGGGTAGGAATCTCAAGCCCACAAATCCGTCAGACTTCCATATGCTTGGAGCTGGGCATGTGCGTAACTGTTTTTCTGGATCAAGATTAGAGTTCTCACCACTTGACAAGATTCAGCTTGTGGTTTGTGAAGTGCTGCCAGTTTGTCTGGAATTAAAGATCTATAAAAATATCAATTTAAAAAAAGGCAATTCCCTGTTTCAGGTTTATGTGTGCATTAATTAATACCTGGTTGGGAAACATGAAGGATACCGTGCAACAACATTGCTTGTATCACACTTCTCACCACGTGAGAGCCACTCCATGTTCCCAAAGAACTGACAACTATCTCTATGCAAAATCAAGATGGGAAGGGACAGATAAAGGTGCAGAGATGGTATTTCCAGTGTCAGGAAGGGGCAGCACCCCTTGATCTCTGAATGTAGCAAGTATTCACTTCACCACCGATGCTTTTCATGCATCGTGATGCTTTTTCTGGGGATAGAAATGTTGTACAAACAATTATAGAGGAGCTTAAATGGAGTAGTAGCAATTTTTCTTGGCCTCTGTATTGCTGATTTCCAGCCTGCAGTGACTGACGGCAGATTTTATGGGTATGGATCCGCCAGAAACGTCAGGACAGGAATTCCTGGCTTAAGTCGAGTGACCCCCGAGGAGTACTGAAGGACTGACGGGATTCTGAGATGACAAGTGCAAACCCAATGCTGCAGATTTTTCTCAGCAAAACAGAAGTGCGGTGAGGAAGCAATACCGCGTGCCCTTCCGCAGGGCTGAGCGGTGGGAGAGGGGAGCAGCAGGGCTGAGCGGTCCCTGCGGTTCGGCACAGGGACCGGAGGGCTGCGAGCCGGGGGCAGGAGGCAGTGCCCGGGCAGGGCCGGGGCGGGCGGGCAGCGCCAGCAGGTGCCCCGGGTCAGCCCTGCCGGGCCTGGGGACCCGGGCGGCGGCCCCGGGGGAGGAGCGGGGCGCGGGCCGGCCCCGGTGCGCGTGTCCCGGGCGCGGGGCCGGGCTAGAGGGAGGAGGGCAGGGCGAGGGCGGGGCGGTTAGCGCGGCTGGCCCGGCCCGCCGGGGAGGAAGGAAGGGAAGGGGAGCGGGCTGCGCTGTTGCCCTTTTAAGCGAGCGAGCGGGCGCCGAGGCCGGTACAAAGGGAGCTCCGCCGTGCCCCGCCGGCTGGGGCTGCCCCGGCCCCGCCATCTTCCGCCCCGCAGGCGCGGCCGGGGCCAGGGTCGGGCCGGCTGAGTCGGCGGGAGGCGGCGGCAGCGCAGGCCCGGGCCCGGAGATGAGGCCAGGATGTCGGTGTCAGGGCTCAAGGCCGAGCTGAAGTTCCTCGAGTCCATCTTCGACAAGGACCACGAGCGCTTCCGCATCGTCTCCTGGAAGCTGGACGAGCTCCACTGCCAGTTTGTGCTCCTGCCGCCGCCGCCGGGCTCCAGCCCGCAGCCGCCGCCGCCGCTCACCATCCACTGCAACATCACGGTGCGGGGGCCGCGCGGGGCGGGGAGGGCCGGGCACGGCCCGCCCTCGCCATTGTCCGCGGGGCGCGGGGAGGGGGCGCAGCCCCGCCGGGGTGACTCAGCACGGGGGGGCCGCTCCTCAGGGGCTCCGGGCGCCCTCCTCGCTGCCACCATAACAAAAGTTACAGAGGCGGGCGGCCTCGGCCTCTCCTCGTGCGCGGCGGGGGCTCCTCCGGGGGACCCGGGCACGGGGAAGGACGCGGGCCGGGGCCATCGCCGCCGCTTTGGGGCCGGGAGCCGCGAGCCGGAACAAAGGGCGGCCGGGCCCAGGGCAGCGGGCACAGAGCCCCGGGGCGGCGGCGGGGGGAGCAGAGGGGCCCCGCTGCCCGGTCCGGCCCTGCGGCGGCTCGCGGGTCGCCGGTAGCGCCGTGCGCGGGGTCCGAGCGGGCGGCGGGCGGGCGCTTTACCGAGTGCGCCACACGGCCGCGGCCTGGGGCGGGCCCGGCCTCCCCCGCGGGGCAGCCCCAGGCAGCCGCAGCCACGGAAACTTGTCGGTGTCGCCGTCGTGGCGGGGTAAGGCCGACATCCCCCCTCTGCCGCCGAAGGGCCGCTTTATCATAACGGGGCGTTTAAACTTGTCACGGCTGCCAGCCGCCGTGTCCGAGCTGAGGGTCTGCTGCCTGCCGAGGGCTTTGACGGTTCTCCCTTCTGTGGGTTTTATTTCCCCTTAATTCGTTTGGCTTAATATTTCTTATATGAGTGGAAGAGAAGCTGAATAAAACGTTCAGTGCTGTGTGACGTGGTAACAATCCTCTGGTTCTTTAGAAGTTTAAGGCCTAAACTTGCAGAAGGATCTCAATATGTTGGCATCTGTGACTCATGTACAGGAAAGTGCTGGAGGTTCATTTCTGTTGGGTTGGTTGCAGTTCTAGGTGAATTTACATGTCTTATCAAGATTCAGCTGAACAGTGACATATGGAAACCCTTCGGGTGAAAACAGCACGTTTGTGTTTAAGGAAGACAAATTCTACTGCCTTTTTTTGTCTTTGTATGAAAGTTTTAAACACCGTGGTGGTCAAAACATTAGTGTAAATGTGAATATTGTACTGAAAGATGAAAATGTGTGTGCAAACCAGGCAGGTCTAATAATAATCATGACCAGATTCTTACTTGCCTTAAAGTAACTTTATTAAATTAAAGGCAAATTGTTAAGTGGATCTTTCAGTTTTCACAGTTAACTGTTAGGAAAAGTTGCTTCTGTGGTCATGGGACAGGTCTTTGTTTTACTGCGTACTTGTAAGAAATTCTGGGGTTTTATGGTAAAATAAACAAGAAGCGTTGGTGTTCTTGTTTCCAGACATGACCCATCAGATGATGAATTGTGTGACTTCCTAGAAATATTTTTTATTCAGTTGAGAGTGTTCCATTGCAGAGAAATTTGGCTTTTTATTTCCACATAAGGTGATCTACTTCATGAGTCTCACTCTAAACAATAAAATGAAAGGTCTGATGATCGCGCACCCTTGGTTGCCAGTTGAATTTGATGAGTTATTTCTTCTTTGTTAAGTCACAGCTACCAGGTAAGCCAGCAGTAAGACCTGAAGTTGTTGTGCTTAGGGTTTATGCTGTGGTGTTTATCTATTTCTGAGACTGCTTTCATTGCAATTACTTCTAATAGTAATTCTTACTGCAAAGAAATAACCCACCTTAGCTGTAGGCCTTTGGTTGAGGTGAGCAGGCAAGAAACCACTTAGATCACTGTTGTCATGTTTGTGTTAATGAGGAAACAGTGTCTGCAATCTGCTGTTACAGTCACTTGTCCCAAAGGTCAGGAGCTCTCTCACATGCCATTAGACTTGTGGCATATGAAGTTGCAAAAAGAACAGGAAAAGTGCTCTTTGAAACCTCAGAGCTGAGACTTCTGCTTTGATGAAAGGCTGTGTCTGAGCTTCTTGAAAGTTCTGTTTACAGTTGTCTGTGAGCAGCTTGGTGCTTTCTGATGTTGACTAATTTCTTGCTTTTCAAGGCAGGTGGCTACTTTCCCCATCTGTTAAAAATAATGGGGTAGGACAACCTGAGATACAGACGTGGCTCCCTTGAAACAAATGGCAGCAGGTGATAGAGCCAGGAAGAGAAAGCTCATCTCTGGGCTTCCATCCTAGTTCTTTGACATACATTTTAGAATTCTCAAGTGTCACAAAAGTGATTTTTTTTTTTCTCCCCCTTCCCACTGAATGGAGTCCCTTGGCCCTTACTCCTGATTGCCTCCAGATGTTTTTGTGGGTACTGTAAACTAAGCCTAGGTCTTTTTTTACTTTGCTTCAGTGGCTCTGCAGGTACTGAGGGAACTAGGACTTCAAATAGCAGTAGTAGCATGCAAAGACTGCTAAGACTATAAAGTTGTTGGTAAACATGTTTTTTGGGGAGGCTCTCTACATCAGAAGCTGCTGTCTTAACGTTTTGGATTTGCAGAACAAATATTTTAACTGTTTGCTTCTTTAGCCCCCATGATACTGATCCAGCCAGGGTATTTCCTTTACTCAACAAAAGCACCCAGTGGGTTTGTCTGGGTGTTCAAGGATCCTGTTAAGAGGGAAGAGTAAGCACAGAGCTCAATCTCCACTTCTTCTCTTTGTGGTTCTGTTAGCATACCTCAGTAGTTTATGTAAAATGACAGCTGTCTAGCAGTGAGTAGAGGTGCTGAGCTTATGGGATGGAGAAATATCTGGTAGGGAAGGAAGCTTTCAGTAGCTAAGAAGTGATCTGATAGCTAAGTTGGCTCTGAAATTCCCGACAAATCTTTTTTCTCTCCAGCCTAGAGGGAAGAGGAAATATTCCTCTGGAGATGTGAGGGAGCATATGTGTTTAGGAACTGTGTAGGTCTCCACAGGTTTTCTAGACTAAAATTCAGAGTTTGAGAAGTCTGCCACTGGCATTTCTCACTGAGATGATTTGTTGATTGTCTCTAGTATAAGTGTGTAGAACTGTCAAAGTTCAGTATTGGCTATGGCATCTCAGGGACACTGTACCTCTGACTCTGAACACTGCTGGAAATTAAAGTAAGGTACATTTTACTTGATAGGTCCTCTGTTTATAAAGTGGCAGCCAAACTTTGTCCAGGTCTGTCCTTTACTATTTCTGGTAGTGACCTGTATTAGAGCTTACATGGTTAATCAGATTATTTTAAAGGAGGCACTTAAGGGTGGAGTCATCCCTGTCAGAAATATTGCTGCTTATTCCTGAGAACTGTCCAATTATTGAACTTGTTCAGGCTGTGTACTTTCACATTCCCATTTTGTTATGCCAACAGCAGTGTCTCCATTTGAGGTTTTATTTCTGTTTTCCTCAGGTTTCCATTTTAGTTAACAGCACTATTCCGGTTGATCAAGTTCAATAAACCTTGTCCTGTTCCTCATGTGTTTTGAAATAGTATCAAGCCTATGGCCTTACTTAGAGGAGGGTGCTTATTGATCATGACTTTAGGTAAATGTCCTTCAGTACAATCTCTGGCTTCAGTTTGGTGCCTTATCAGACTTAGGTCATAGAATTGCAAAGGGTGTGTTAGAATTATTCCACACTGAAGTTTGGATTGCTGTAAAACATTTTGTATTTTTTGTCATCTCTTCAAAGAGAAACTGGGTATTAATATCTCTCCGCCCATATGCAGAATTCCTGTTGAAATTCTGTATCCTCAAGTGACCCTTGCAGGTAGAATGGGGGTTTGTGCCAATTCCATGTGGGAGCAGGTTTGCCCTAAACGGATCCAGGGCTGTCGTGTGCAGGGATATCCTTCATACTTCAACAGTTCAGTTCAGGTGATGTGGCTGACTCAGTAAACTCCTGCCTCTCTGTTGGAAAGAGGCATTTTCTGCTTCTGCTGAAAAATACCCTGCTGCTAAATCAAAGTTAGAAGCTGCTATGAAAGACTTGAAAAGGTTGCTGCCTACAGATAACTGCAATTGATGGGAGAAGACTTTATTTTCCCTTAAAACCAGAATGGATGAAAAGATATTACCTGTGAAGCTTTTGACAAGTTGGGTGTATAACAGAGAGTGAGTGTATTGGAACCTGGGACAATTCTTCAAAGATGTAGGATTTTCCTATTGAATCCCTCCTAGCTAGTGCCTAGACAGCTGGTAACCTTTTTTACAGGTTATTTATTTGTACACAGAACTAACCACATAATGAAGGAGGCATTCTGTTCCAATCATGGATTTTTATTTTTTATTTTTGTACATCATTAGGCATTCTGTAGTAAGGTTGAGACCTTTGTCTTGCAGCATGTGGATGTCAGGACTGTATAAAAGCATACATGGCTTTATCTTGATAACATGTACTTTTTAGCTAGCGTTAGATATACTTGCTGATTTTTAAAAAGGCACTCATGCAACTGTTATCAACCATAACATGCAATAGAAATAGAGCAGGCTTAGTATTGTTTTATTTAGCAGACCAAAATTAAGCTAACAAAAAAAAACCTAAAAGAGTAGTGAGGGGTTTAGTTTCTCCTTTTATGTCAAAACTGTAATTGAAAAAAGAATATTGAAAAAAGGAGTAGGAAGAATCTTTTGTGTCTGCAAGACAAGACCTTTCTGATGCCACAGTCTGGTTGTGTGATGTGTGAAAGGTTGTAACCAGTACTTCAGGACTTAAAGGATGGTTCTGTCTTCCCTACAAGGCATGAAGTGCTTCTGAAATAGCCTAGAAAGCCATAGTGGTGGGCTTCAAAATGCTGGCATATGTTTAGTTCTTAATGCACAGTAAGTTGTGCTCTTTTCCAATGGGTTGCTCATGAGTTGATGACAGTAACCTCAGAACTGGGATTGTTGTGGTCCTTGAAAGAGCTCTCTGTGCACTTTGATAATTAAAAGAAGTTTTGTAGAAAGAATTACATTCTTTTCACTCAACTTCCTTCCTCCTGTGAGCTGTTCAGGAGGTTTTGTCTATTGGTGCCTTTTTGATATCCTCAACATGTAATGAAAATTGGAATTTTTAGTAAGAACCAAGTGTGATGGTAATAGT